TGTTTTTCCATTTGTTGTGTCCTTAGAAACATGTTCTTTTCCTTCTGTTCTTAAGTCAATACTGTCTACTAATTCTTCTGATTATACTGAACCATGTGATTCATTGTTAAACAAACACTTAGATGTAAATGATACACACACTAATTTGTCATCTGATCCTCAGTCCCCATAGATACATTCACAACACTCACCACCTTTACCATATATCCAAACTGAGTTACATGTTCCTGTACCACAAAGAAGATCTCGTAGGGAGATCAAGACACCTCACCATTTAAAAGACTATGTTCTATCTCTCCCTACACTCAAACCTTCTACTCTCATTAATCACAATCCCAATACCACCCATACTAACCTGTCACTGCATGCATTGTTCAATAAACACCATTACATTTCTCCTGATGTCATTGCTTCTAATAGTCAAGTATTGGTTGAAAGTATATGTCATGACAGTGAACCATCCTCTTATGAGGAAGCAGCACTAAGTCCTGCTTGGCAGAAGGCCATGACCCAAGAGTTTGATGCCTTGTATGCAAATGGAACTTGGGATCTGGTAGAGTTGCCTAAAGGTAAACAAGCTATTGGGTGTAGGTGGGTGTAAAACACAAAGCTGATGGTAGTATAGAAAGGTTCAAAGCCAGGCTAGTGGTGAAAGGTTATACTCAGCAGGCTGGAATAGATTACACTGAGACTTATTCACCTATTGTCAAGATGACAACTGTGAGAACCTTGGTGGCATGTGCTGTGAAGAAGGGTTGGGAAATGTTTCAACTTGATGTCAATAATGCCTTCCTACATGGTGAACTTCATGAAGAAGTGTATATGAAAATACCTCAAGGACTTGATGTGAGTGAACCAGGATTAGTGTGTAAACTTAAAAAATCTCTATATGGACTTAAACAGGCCAGCAGACAATGGTATGCTAAGTTAACTGAAGCATTATCACTGAGAGGATATACACATTCACACCATGATTATTCACTATTTTACAAGAAATCTGGTTCTTTGGTGGTTTTTGTGGCAGTTTATGTTGATGACATTGTCCTAACAGGCACAAATACAGATGAGATTACACAGTTGAAAGCCTACCTGGACAAATCCTTCAAAATCAAAGACCTTGGGAAACTGCATTACTTCTTAGGGATGGAAATCCTTAATACTACTGAAGGGGTACTTATTTCACAAAGGAAGTTTGTGTTGGATCTGCTGAAAGAATATGATTGTTTTAATTACACTCATTTGTCATCTCCTCTTGATCCCAATGTTAAACTCAGAGCCAAAGAAGGAGTCCCATTGTCTGATCCCACTTATTACAGGAAACTTATTGGCAAGTTAAACTTTCTCACCAACACTAGGTTGGACATTGCTTTCAGTGTCCAACAACTAAGTCAGTTTATGCAGGATCCCAGAGCTCCTCACTTACAAGCTGTTTTTCATCTACTTAGATACTTAAAACAGGATCCTACTTTGGGAATTCATTTATCAAGTGATCCTGATTGCACTATAAAAGCATACTGTGATTCTGACTGGGCTACATGTCCAGATTCCAGGAAGTCAGTGAGTGGGTATTTAGTTCTACTTGGAAACAGCCCTATCAGTTGGAAGTCTAAGAAACAAGAAACAATATCTTTATCTTCTGCAGAGGCAGAATACAGGTCACTCAGGAAAGTAGTAGGGGAATTGGTTTGGCTGCACAGGTTGATCACTGAGTTAACTATATATGATTCCTCCCCAATTGATGTATATTGTGATAGTCAAGCTGCAATACATATAGCTCGCAACCCTGTCTTCCATGAGAGAACCAAACATATTGAAGTTGATTGTCACTTTGTACAGAATAAGCTTCAGGAGGGTCTTATTTCCCTTCACCATGTGGCTACCACTGAACAATTAGCAGACATTCTCACTAAGGCCCTCACTGGTGTCAAACATGATGCAGTCCTGAGCAAATTGGCTGTGAGATCCTCACCACCAACTTGAGGTGGGGTATTAACAACTAATTATCTTGTAAAATACAAGTCTTAACTACAGTTAGTTAGTTAACTAACACTAGTTCAGTTCTTAACTAGTTTGTTGATATAACAGTTAGTTAGTTAGGATTTTTTCATCTTCTAGAATCATCTTAGTCACATGTATATAATGATGTACTCATGAGTTGAAATGTAAGTTTTTCATTCTCTCTCAAATACAATTCTCTCAACTGTTTTCTCTCGATTGCCATTAATGGCTTCTCTGTTTTGATTCAACTAAACACTCACCATTGTTGTGAGTTTTGATAAGTTGAATTGAAATGGCCAACCGATTATGACAATTAATATTTCTTTTGGTAAACCTAAGACAAATTTGTATAATTTGCAAATCACATATACCTGCCTTAATGTGAACATTCAACTAGCTAGTCTGATCAAAGTCTAGATTCGAAATTTATTAGTTTAAGCTTACAAGTATTTTGAATTATTAAAACCAAAGTTTTTCTACTCGAAATGACAAATATATTTGCAAATGGCTAAGCATTTGTCAGTTGATATTTCCGGGTTAATTTAAGAGGCGATTAATAATAGATTTAAAATATTTTCTTTATCTAAATTTTATGGAATTGAGTGAAAGATGGAGTTATATTTCATTATATATTTTTTTTGCATATAATAATAGGAATAATGTTCATACTTAAATATATCTAAATACGATTTCAAAAGTGAAGAATAAATTGAAAAACATTATTTTCCAAATTAAAAATATAATTAAATTTAAAATTTTCATTATCCAACACTAATATTTAATTAAAATAAAAGTTATGTTAAAATAAATAAATAATTTTTATTACCAGTTCCTTTATTTAACGGAGAGATTCTTAGGAAGGTGGCCAATTTGATTAAAGTATTTTTGACAGAATTATTCTTATTATTCACCGAGGCAGCATATCGGTCGGTTTGATTTTAAAGTTTATTGGTTTGACTTATCGGTTATCAGCTTGTAATCATTAAAAATCATTAAAATATTAACTTATCGATTTATCGGTTATTGATCGTTATTGGTTTGGTTATCGCTTTAACCGTTAAGATTTGATAGAAAAAATAAATAATTTAAAATCACTTAGAAACATGGTGACAAACCAAATAAATCATGCACATGAGTTGATAGATTATATCTTGCTAAAAAACAACACTAACACATTGTAGAATTAATAACCAAAAATTTGAGACTGCCAGAAATAAAAATATGAAACTAAATCCTAAGTCAAGAAGTTTATATACTGAATGATATAAATATAATTTACTATCGTGTTAACATTTAACCTGTTAAGAGAAAACCTCAAACTGTTAAGAATGATAACCGGATAATAAAATAAATTAAAACCGTTATCAAACCGCCGTTAAATCAATAGCCCATTACCGATAAATCAATATCTTTTTTTGATTCAAATTATCGGTTTCGGTTCGATTTTGAATAGCCCTACCTGACATAGAGTATAAAAATGTATTAAACTAGTCTATTTCAGATCTAGACTTTGATAAACCAATTGAAACTTCACTTTTTAATAGATGTGTCTTTGCGATTTCGATTTTAGTCTTCAAATATTTGTGTCTTATCCAAAAATAATATAATACAACTTTGAAGTGTGAACTGCATCCAACTATCGAAATAATTTTATATAGCTTTTCTTATGGTGAGTTGGTATTTAAAAATTATAAAACGAGACCTCAATTCCATTAGTCTTTCATAAAATATGACAAGCCAAAATAATCAATAGTCAACTGAAGAAATTGATATTAAATGGTTGCGTAAATCGATGAATAATTCGTACTCTAATATAATGCAATTGTTAACTTCATCAAGCTGTTGATATCATTATTTTATTTTTGGTTATTTGATATTTAAAATGATAAAATTAATGGAATCTTAACATAATTCATCTTTAATAAATACTGATGAAATAGCACATTGTATTGGGGGAATTGTCATAGTTTTCGTTTTTAGAGTTAAAACGATAAGAACTTTGACGGACATTTTAAAATGTATTTTTTCATCATATTGATATGCAAAAAATTACAATTTATAGTACTTTTCATATAGTTTTGAATATCAAAATTTTTAGTTTAAAATATCGAATTAATGTAATCTAATTTAACTTTGAAAATTAATCAAATTGACTTTCGAAAAACGCAACATGACAACTAAAAGGGGACGGAGAGGGAGTTTTATAATACGAGACCTTAATTCCATTAGTCTTCATAAAATATGATAAGCCATAAAATATCAACTGGCTTTTATTAGCTTTTTAAGTTTTATTCTCAGAAACATTTGAGCAGAATAGAGATTAGCTTGGAAGTAAAGAAAAAAGGTACTGTAATATTTCTCTAGTTTACTTTCTTATTTCATTTTACATGTATTTTAGTGATTTGATAGATATATTTGGACTCAAAGGAATTAAGTAGAGTAATATCTCCTTTTTGTTTTTATTTTTTTGTTTATTTGTGGATTATATACATAATTATAAGAACTAGAAAAATGTTTATAGTTTTGACTATGTTGGATATACATAATGATACGAGCAACTCTCTCTTGTTGATTAGTATGCTTCAATACATAGAAGTTGAAAGAATTTATTTCCAGGCATCAAGATCGTCCTCTGATCCTTTTTTCTTCTTTCCACTATAAACTGTTTTTTTCAATTTTTTCATATTTGATTGATTAAAAATATTAGAGAACATATTTATCCTTATTAAATATGCACATGATTCATTGAAGGCTGGTTGAAGGTTGGAGATTAAATTCGGCATAAATGGAAACAGGAGAATCAGGAACAAGCAAGTCATCAGTATGTCTATCAATTTTTCTAGCAATTATTAGTTTTAAATATTTTGTAACAATATTATTAAGGTCCAAACATAACATAACTATTCATCTGTCTATGAAGCCTCGAAACATAACTGAATAGTGTCAATCGGGACAAGAAACAAAACTTCCTAAAATATGTAGACTAAGTCCTAGAAGCAGCGATGGGTTCACTAATAGCAGAAGATATGGAAACTAACAAGCGGCCTGATCACGTATCTACATACCTCTGCATCAATAAAAAGATATGCAGCGCCCCCAACAAAAGGGACGTAAGTACATATGAAATAGCGGAATGAAACAATAATGTACAGATCAAATCAATAGAAGCAACTAACATAGTCAAAATCATAACAACCAAAACTCAAGACAAAGTAATTCAATAAGTTTTCTTCTATAAAAAATTTCCTTTCCATACTCCTCCTTTCTAGCTTCTTTTTCTTTAGTTGAATCTTCCGATCCTAGTTAATGATCTTGGGCTAGCAGAAGATTTTTCGAATTATCTTGGGCTAAAATGTTAGTCTAGTAAGTGATGTTTTTTTCTGTTTTTTAGCAGCTGCCATTTGAGGAAGAAAGACGGAGAATCAGGAATCTTATTGATGATTTCTTGAATCGCTTGAAGAAAATACAGAATGAAGAAGAAGAATTCATTGCTTCAAAATTGGATATCGTTGAAAAGCTAAGAATGGATTTGAGATTCCTAAGAACATTTGTCCTGTTTGGGGATTCGAGTTTGGATGACTTTTATGACAAGATGTCGCTGAATATTTTCATGTTCGAAGAACTGGCTTGGTCACTTTTCTATGAAGATGAATTTATACAGAGTAAAAGTATGACCAAATACAACATGGTTCGTCTTACGCATTTCTTGGTGGATGAAATGACGAGTTATTTGAGTTTGAAGAATATAGGGATGATGACAGAGATTGAAAAAATGTTTGAATATCTCTTCAGACACCTCCATGATCTACCGAAGTACTGTGCTAAATTCCTTCTTCCCCTGATGAGTGACTACAAGATTCTTCGGCAAGTATGCAGACATCTGATGGATTTTTATCCTATCCTCACGGCCAACAGAACAAGTACTGAATATCTCTATCCTCGGTACCAAATGACAGTTCAGAGAATAACACAATTCTGTTTAGATCTTTGGACTGGAAAGTATAAAGAATATACTAAATATGGCGATGATTATGACGTCTCTCAATGCTCTTCCAAGATCACTTCTCTACTCATCGACATAATCCCTCTCGAGCTGGAGGTTCTATACATTTCTACTTCTAAGCTCATCAAAGAATCAAGGTCAACTCAACTAGAAGGATTTATTAAGCAAATCGTAAAAGCATCTCCAAGGATCCTTCAAAATTATCTCATTCATCTCCAACGACGCATGGAAGGTGCAGTAGCTGTAAATTACGCTCCAACTCAAAGCATTTATGTCATGATGGAGTTCCTATTGATCTTTCTCACTGATATACCAAAGCGGTTTATCCATCGTGAAAAATTGAACGATATGTTGGCACATGCTGGAGTGCTTACAAGAAAAATATCTATTCTGGTGAGCAAGCTGTTGGAGGAGATCTCTGAGAAATATATCAACGAAGCGGACTTTTCAGCTCCAGACTTTTTGCAAGAAATTGAACAAATGAAGGGAGATATCAGACAGATATTTTTAAAAGCCCCTGAGTCATCTCAACTTCGTTTTCCTATGGATGATGGTTTCCTCTTCATGAATCTTCTACTCAGACATTTAAATGATTTGCTCATTTCCAATGTCTATTAAGTTACTCTGATAAAGAAAGAAATTGGGATGGTGAAAGAAAGCCTTGAATTCCTAACATCATCTTTCGGGAAAGTCACGAAAACGTTGGATGACACTAGTGGAGTAGTTAAAGATTGTTGGTTGCATGCTTTAGAGGTGGCATATGAGGCAGAACATGTCATTAATTCCATTCTTGTCAGAGATAAAGCTCTCTCGCATTTAATCTTCCCACTTCTGAATGTCACTGATAAGATCAAGCTTATTGTGGCACAAGTCACCGGTTTACAGCTGGAGGATAAGAATGGGGATGAACCCCTTGATGCAAAGTCTTCCAACGAGCCAATTGAGTTAACCTCATCATCTTTTGTTGAGGTAACAGTAGGTCATGAGGAAGATGAAGCCCGGATCATTGGCCAGCTCCTTGATGAACATGAATCCGAGCTTGATGTCATTTCCATTGTCGGAATGCCAGGACTCGGTAAAACTACTCTTGCCAATAAAGTGTATAACAATACATTAGTTGCTAGTCATTTCAATGTTCGTGCTAAGTGCACTGTTTCCCAAAAGTATAACAAGTCAAAGGTATTGCAGGAGATTCTTCAGCAAGTTCCTCATGTCTCTGGAGGAAACGAAAGTGAGGATGACCCTGCTGATAAACTACGAAGAGCACTGCTTGATAAAAGGTACCTCATCGTTTTGGATGATGTGTGGGATACTGCAACAGGGGAGATGTTAATAGCATGTTTTCCAAAGGTTAAGAGAGGAAATAGAATTATCTTATGTTTGAATATAGGGACAGCCTCCTCAAGCACCTCCATGATCTACCAAAGTATCGTTCTGATTTGCTTCTACCCCTCATGAGTGAATACAAGATTCTTCGGCAAGTATGCACACATCTCAGAGATTTCAATGAGTTGGAATGCAACAAAAGTACAACAACAGAATTTTTCTATGCTCCGTATCAAATGACAGTTGATAGAGTAACACAATTCTGTTTTGATCTTTGGACTGGAAATAATAAACACTATGACGATGAGTATGCCGTCTCTCAATGCTCTTCCAAGATCACTTCTCTACTCATCGACATAATCCCTCTCAAGCTGGAGGTTCTATACATTTCTACTTCTAAGCTCATCAAAGAATCAAGGTCAACTGAACTAGAAGGATTTGTTAAGCAAATCCTAAAAGCATCTCCAAGGATTCTTCAAAATTATCTCGTTCATCTCCAACGACGCATGGAAGGTGCAGTAGCTGTAAATTACGCTCCAACTCAAAGCATTTATGTCATGATGGAGTTCCTATTGATCTTTCTCACTGATATACCAAAGCGATTTATCCATCATGACAAATTGAATGATATGTTGGCACATGTTGGACTACTTACAAGGAAGATATCTATTCTGTTGGAGGAGAGCTCTGAGTATAATATCAATGAAGCGGACTTTTCAGCTCCAGACTTTTTTCAAGAAATTGAACAAATGAAGGGAGATATCAGACAGATTTTTTTAAAAGCCCCGGAGTCATCTCAACTTCGTTTTCCTATGGATGATGGTTTCCTCTTCATGAATCTTCTACTCAGACATTTAAATGATTTGCTCATTTCCAATGTCTATTCAGTTACTCTGATAAAGAAAGAAATTGGGATGGTAAAACAAAGCCTTGAATTCCTAACATCATCTTTCGGGAAAGTCAGGAAAACGTTGGATGACAGTACTAGTGGAGTAGTTAAAGATTGTTGGTTGCATGCTTTAGATGTGGCATATGAGGCAGAGCATGTCATCAATTCCATTCTTGTCAGAGATAAAGCTCTCTCGCATTTAATCTTCTCACTTCCGAATGTCACTGATAAGATCAAGCTTATTGTGGCACAAGTCACCGGTTTACAGCTGGAGGATAAGAATGGGGATGACCCCCTTGATGCAAAGTCTTCCGACGAGCCAATTGAGTCAACCTCATCATCTTTTGTTGAGGAAACAGTAGGTCATGAGGAAGACGAAGCCTGGATCATTGGCCAGCTCCTTGATGAATATGAATCCGAGCTTGATGTCATTTCCATTGTCGGAATGCCAGGACTCGGTAAAACTACTCTTGCCAATAAAGTGTATAACAATACATTAGTTGCTAGTCATTTCAATGTTCGTGCTAAGTGCACTGTTTCCCAAAAGTATAACAAGTCAAAGGTATTGCAGGAGATTCTTCAGCAAGTTCCTCATGTCTCTGGAGGAAACGAAAGTGAGGATGACCCTGCTGATAAACTACGAAGAGCACTGCTTGATAAAAGGTACCTCATCGTTTTGGATGATGTGTGGGATACTGCAACAGGGGAGATGTTAATAGCATGTTTTCCAAAGGTTAAGAGAGGAAATAGAATTATCTTAACTAGCCGAAGTAGTAAGGTAGGTTTGCAAGTCAAATGCCATAGTGATCCTCTCCACCTTCAACTTTTAACACCTGAAAAAAGTTGGGATTTATTTGTAAAAAAGGTATTTGGAGATGAAGGAAGCTTCCCTGCTGAACTGTCAGAAGTTGGACACCAAATAGTTGAGAAATGTCAAGGGCTTCCTTTGGCTATTGTTTTGATTGCTGGAGTAATTGTTAGAGGAAAGAAAAAGGAAAAGGATTTGTGGCTTAAGATTCAACATAATCTGGATTCCTTTATTTCTACCAACATCAATTTGCAGATGATGAAGGTTATGCAATTAAGTTATGACCATTTACCATGCCACCTGAAGCCGTTGCTGCTTTACTTTGCAAGATCTCAAAAGAGCGAACGAACCCCAGTCTCTCCATTGATGCGGTTGTGGCTGGCCGAAGGGTTGGTGGATCATGATAGTTTAGAGGAAGTAATTCAAAGTTACTTGGATGCTTTAATTTCCAGTAGTCTGATAATGATGGATCATATCACCACCGGGAGTAGTTGGATCTCTAAAAAGATCAAGGTTTGCTATGTGCATGATGTTGTGCACGATTTTTGTTTAGTAAAAGCGAAAAAGGAAAAACTTTTCAAGTTAATCAATTCAGGTGATCCACTTCATGCTTCTGATTACCTACACCGTCGTCTAGCCGTTCATACTGACGACTACAGCCAACTCCACAAAAGATGTGTTTTGTTAAATTTTAATAAATGTTCATTTGGTAGTAAGCATCTCATATCTTTGACAGTGAGCGGTTATCATGATGACTCGAGGTATATCAGTCACACAAGACACTTGAGACTTGTTAGAGTGTTGCAACTGGATGGCATTCCTCTTGCCGATCCTTTAATGGAAGAAATAGGCTCCCTATTTCATTTGAGGTTCTTAAGCATTTGGATTCTATATATAAAAGCTATCCCAGTGCCGTGGTTGAACCTCCAGAATCTGGAAACTCTGTTGATCAATACGCAATATTCCACCATGGTATTACTGCCCAGAATATTGAAACTGTCAAAGCTGAAACATGTGAGCATTGACCAGAGTTCTTTCTTTAAAGAGGACGCGGATCCATGTAGAATATTGGAAGGTGAGAATTCAAAGCTGACAACTTTATCCCATGTTGATATCTCATATTCTGAAGGCACGAATGATGCTCTGAAGAAGTTCCCAAATCTTCAACACCTTGAGTGCACCATCAGGATACCCGAGGATCCTCCTACACATGGCGATTGGTTTCCCAAGTTTGATGTCCTTAACAAACTTGAATCACTCATTGTAGAATACCCATGGAAAGGTTATGTTTATCCCAATGAATATCACTTCCCTAGCAGCTTGAAAGAGTTACGGTTGCTTGGTTTTTCCCTGACAACTGCTTTGTTGTCAGCAATCACGGAATTGCCTCAGCTTATAATTCGGGAGATTGCCGCTTCTGATTTCTTGGAGTATAAGTGGGATGCAAGTGAGGACATGTATCAAAGTCTTAAGACTTTGACATTGCGAATGGTCAATCTTTCAGAATGGGAAGCTGATAAGGAAACTTTTCCCAAGCTTGAGGAATTAATACTAGAACGTTGTTATATGCTTACAGAGATCCCTTCTGTATTTGGGGATATGGACACTTTAAAGTCTATTCAAGTGGTTCAAAGTAAGCGTGAGGTTGGAGATTCAGCCATGGAAATTAAGAAAGATGTGGCAGCTTACACAGGAGAGGACAGACTTCATGTCCATATATCATAGTGCATTTTTACGTAATTAATTTCATACATCTTCACCCCTGCCTAGTTCATTTAATTTATTTAATCATGTGTTTGTTTTCATATCATCATCATGTATACATCTTTGAGTTCAATTTTAACTAAACGGTATAAGCACTTTCTGTTGGATGGCAATACAAGCCTGTCGTAGCCTCTGTTTTCTGAAATAGAAAAAGGGCCTCAATTGGCATCTATGCCCTCCAACTTTGATTGAACAAGTAGACACGTGTTTTCTATGTTGCATCATTTGTGGTGTCTACATGGCATAGATGTGAGTATTAATGCATTTGCAGTCTCAGTTCATCTGATTACTAGTTTTTCTCATTTTGTGGTTCTGGAGATGTTTTAAATTAATATTTTGAGTGTTTTCTTTCATGTAAACTGTGTATTGCTTCGCCCCTCATTAGTAATTTGTTTTATTTGCGGCATAATACATATATTGGACCTTAAACTTGGCTTCAAATTTTAACTTTGACCTCCAACTTTCAAAGTGCACAAATAAACACTTTAACTATCCAACCTTTTAATAAATAAACACGCGTGTCTTACCTGGCAAAATGCATGACGTGCACGCATTTTGCGCGAGTGAGAAGTAATTTTTAGGCACACAACAGTGAAAAAAATGCTGAAATGACAACTCTACCCTTAATTAATTTTATTTTATTTTTAGTTCTAAAATGGACGTGTAAAGTGTTTAATTAGTTGGCAGCCATTGAGTGGCTCACTAATACACGTGGCCGCGTTGCACTTCACGCTCTTGGCTCCAAAAATCGCGTGTTTATTTATTAAAAGGTTGGATAGTTAAAGTGCTTGTTTGTGCACTATGAAAATTGGAGGTCAAAGTTAAAATTTGAAGCCAAGTTTAAGGTCAAATATATGTATTATCCCTTTATTTGCAGTAAAGCCTTGGAAATTTAGACAATGCAGATTGCTAGTAGGACAGTGAGACGGTACGCAAGGCGGGGTGATATAGTAGCTGATTTGAACTTGGTTTAGAGATCGAAGGAGATTATTGGGCAATGCCAACATCCTGCTTATGGCAAGGCCACGAGAGGCTGGAGTGGCCCTTGCTTGGTGGAGTTAGTTAAGAAATAAAATTATGTTTTTGCTATCAGCTATATCTTTTGGCATGATTGAGCACTCTTCTTTCTCATTTACTTTTTTATTTTGTCTACAATGTTATAGTTGATGTTGGGATAATATCCACTTACTCTTTGGTTTTTTTTTTTGTTAAATGTAGTCTTTTATTTAATAAATTAGGACATCAGTACATCACTCTATTGTTAAAACAGTTTTATGGTCCTTTCAAAGATCATTAGCAGTTTACTAGATGATATTTTTGTCCACCTTACTTGACTTGGCAATGTTTTTTCAAGCCAAACCCATTATAACCATTTTATTAATCCAACCTACTACAACAAAAATTATACCATGTAACTTAATATATGCAATATCATAGAAAATTATAGTACTATACATAATGTGTCAATCTTGTGTAATACTAGTATATAAAAGGTGCATGCTTATACACAAATATAGGGTAAACCTGGTATAATGTCATAGTCTGGTTTCAATTTATTTGTCTGATTTTGACTTGACGAAGAGTTCAAGAAAGTAAAAAAGATTTTAAAATTTTGAAGTTTTTAACTAAAAATGTGTAGAATATACCAAAATGTCGCTTAATCCCATGGTCTTAAGCATTATCACATGAACAATTGAAATTAACGAATTGGGTCAAATTTGGGCGGGTTGAAAATAGGTCAACATAAAATGGGTCATAATTCAACCCGCCCATATTTGACATGGGTAAAAATGAATTGGATAACAAATGGGTTGGGTAAAATACTAGTTTATCCATATTTACTCATATTTTCATGAGTAAATAGTACTCTACTTAAAAATTCAACATGGAGAAAATATTTTACTCCTTTTTTAGATGAAAAATGTTGAAAAAGCTTCATTTAGTTTTATTGTATCATCAAAGTCAAAAAAATAAAATAAAAAATTTATGTAATAACAAGGGGAAACTATTTTTAATTTCAAAGTAAATGAATAGTTGCATTTTAGGACTAAATACATGCTTAATGCACTTTAAGCAATGTCAATATTAATACATGATTTGCTTATTTTACACTATTATTTATTATCCAATATAAAGTTAAACAAATAAAAAATATAATTATAATTAACAAAAGAAATGTACACTTAAAATATATATTTTTGGAGGGCAAAAGACTTCATCTTTTCAAGTATAGAGAAAAATAATTAGTTCTATAGAAGAACATTTTTTTTAGTGATATAATGAATTTTGAGTGAATAAAAGTTAGAAGCTTAACTCATTTGACTAATCCATATTTTACCCATAGTTTACCCATATTCTACCCATATTTTTATGGATTGAATATGGGTATCAACCCATATTTTACCCATGTAAAAAGTCACTCACCCAACCCATTAAAATATGGGCGGATTGGGCGGGTTATCAAAATATGGGCTCATTTTGCCGGCACTACATCAAACTCATCCCAGAGATTTCTCATCCTAGAAAAGTAATAAGATACAGACAGAGTTCCCTGAGTGAGTGTAACAATTTCATTGAGTATGTTATTATTGTTAACCATAGTTAACTAACTCTGGTTATATCAGCTTGTATCTTTTAGCTCAACACTATTTAGAAGAGAATTTTTTTTTACTTTTTCAGGAAAAATAAAATAAAATCCACATGATTCTTTGACCTAATTAATCAGAAAATCTTTCAAAATGTTGGCGGGATTATTAAAAAGGCAAGTATTTAGATTCTTTTCTTTGTGAATCCCTTGAACAAAAAAAAATAAAAATTAATGGCAACTCGCAGGCAAGTATTTAGATTCTTTTCTCTGTGAATCCCTTGAACAAAAAAAAATAAAAATTAATGGCAACTCGCTTAACACCCAATAACTAGTTTTAAAAATAACTAATGATAAGTCGATCAAATCCTAGTGACATACTAAAAAAAATTAAAAAATAATAATTTAAATAAATTTGCAAGTGAATTAAGCATTTGTCAGTTGACATTTCCAGGTTAATTGAGGAGGCGTTTCATCATAGATTTACATTAATATTTAAATAAAATAAAAATATTATTTCAAAATAAATAAATATTTTTTATTACTAAATGGATCCTTTATTTTATTTGCAGATCCATTGTTTGTTTAGTTGACTAATGGAGAGATCCTTCTTAGGAACGTGGCCAATTTTTATTAAAAATTTCTTGATAGAAATAACTATTAGAAAGTGGGATTTATGAAGAAATCAATTCTTATTATCACTTAAACTGAATAGAAAAAAATTTGACTATTTCAAAAAATTAAATATAAATATAAAATTGTAAGAACATGGTATAGTGAGCTATTGACCAATTTAACCTTGTGTCATTTTTCTCTCGTTGTTTTAGCCATATAAACTCAAGATAGCCTTAATTAGAACTTAAGTTTTATTGTACTTGTATATCAAATTATGTAAATGTGATATATGTAACACAAATCGGAAAAATGTTCCTTTACAATTCTCTAGTGGATATACAAATACAATCATTGATACATATACATATATATAATAAACCAACATCTTCATTGAAAACTGACCCAGCCAGACTTTCGAACATCAAAATATTCAGGGACATCTTGTCATAAAAGTCATCCAAACTCGAATCCCCAAACAGGACAAATGTTCTTAGGAATCTCAAATCCGTTGTTAGCTTTTCAACGTCATCCAATTTTGAAACAATGAATTCTTCTTCTTCATTCTGTATTTTCTTCAAGCGATTCACAAAATCATCAATAAGATTGTTGATTCTTCTTCTTTCTTCCTCAAATGACAACTGCTAAAAAACAAAAAACAAAAAAAAAAATTGGGGATAAAAATATATTTTTTCATTAACTTTTAAAATTAAATTAAGGCGGAATGACCTGGAGACCCTTGTACTTGACTCTGTTTGTAAGTTAGACCCTTGTACTTATGACTTTACCAAATGGACCCTCAAACTCATTCAAACACAATATTTTAAACCTCTTTCTCATCTGATATGTGTGCGTGTAATACACTCATTTTACACATAAAATACCACGTCATTTTTTAATGACAGGTCATTATTATTATTATTTTTCCAATGACACATCAAAAATTAAATTTTAAAATAAATAATATTAAAAAATAAAAAATGCAATTTTCTCTCTCCCCCCCCTCCCCCCCCTCCTACTTCATTCTTCATTGGCATAATACATAAATATGTCTTTTAACTTGGCTTCAAATCACATTTATGCCCTTCAACTTTTGGTGTGCACAAGTAGACATTTAAATTTGTATAAGGTTGAACAAATAGACACACATGGGCGGATCTATGGGTACCTGTGGGGGTGCCACGACACCCGCTGATCTCGGAAAAAACTTTATACATATATATATATATATATATAAGAAAATTAATATATATTTTCTTTGCCACCCACTAAACAATATGGTGAACAGTCCAATTGGCAAACCAGGCAATTTGCTTCACGGGCAGCGCGCAGGTTTCGAACCTCGTCTGCAGCATTAATTTTTGAAAGCTTTTTTCTTTCTTTCTGTTTTTTTCTTTTTTCTTTTTTGTCATTTTTATTAATTTTTGAAAGATTTTTTTTTTTCTTTTTTGTCATTTTTATTAATGTGTGAAGGTTTTATTTTTCTCCCTTCCATTCATTCTTATTTATTTACTAGTATTTTTTATTAATTCAAATTGAATCCTATTCACCATAATTAATTCTTAAGTTCTTTTACTTTCTTTTTCACTAATTATTAATCTCTTGATATGAGTGTCGCGTGTTTATTCTTTATCAATTAATGAGTACTGAATTATGAACGTGACATAAATATCATTAAGAATATATTTAAATAGTAGTTTTTAAAAAAATCAAGTTTTAAAAATGATGAATATTATTATTAGAGATCTTTTAATTTGAAGGTTCT